GTTAAAACAGTACATTATTGTGTGTACTATTTTGAAACGAATTTATGACAAAGTGTATAGTTTGGTGTAGTATTCCAGATCCGGATACATCCGAACCAGGAGTAAAATCACCTTTAAGGCGAGGAGCGCAGTCAGTATATATATCTGCTGCGCTCCTCTCGTGGTTCGGATGTGTCAAAACGTGGAACACCACAGCAGAGTATACACTGTGTTATACGCCTCAGTACATATATCTGCTGCGCTCCTCTCCTGGTTCTGATGCGTCCAGATGTGGAACACCACAACGAAGTATACACTGTGTTATAGTTTCACTTAGAGTTGAGCATCAGACTCATCTGAATCAGAACAGTATAATGACATCAACTCGAGTTTGTGAGGAGTGCAACGAGTTGTAGCTCTTCACAGACTTAGAGGAGTAGCATGACTTGTATTTAGGAGTGTGAGGACCAGAATGAATTGGAGTTCTGCACAGATGATTGTGTACATTTGAAGAGCGAGAGAGATAGAAAGAGAGAGTCTTAGAGAGACAGAAAGAGCGAGAGACAGAGAGTCTCCGAGAGACTGTACTGAATTTCTTTCCATCTCGAGACGCCTCAAAAGAGGCGCAGGGTCGATCACACGCGTAGACCATCAGCCTCGCTTTTAAAAGCATTTAAGATGATAGTTGGAGGAGAGCAGCAAGGTAATGTGAATTTTCAAGATAAGCGAAGTTCGGATGTATCCGAGATCACACGAGATAGACAGAGAGAGGAAGTCTGCAAGAAATGGCAAATTAGCACGCCAGATGGCTAAGAGATCGAAAAGATAAGCACCGTATAATCATCCACAACATTTCCTGTCACGGACGTATCCGAAGTGTTGAACTAGTAGAGACCCTTTAGTTCGAAACTTCCCCTGTGTTTTTTGGGACACATTTCAAGAAGTATTTTTTCCGAAACAGAGAGAGAGAGAGAGAGAGAGAGAGAGAGAGAGAGAGAGAAGGAAAAAAAGAGAGAGAGAGAGATAGAGGGAAGTAGAAAGAAAGAGAGAGAGAGAGAGAGAGGGAAGTAGAGAGAGAGAGAGAGAGAGAGAGAGAGAGAGAGAGAGAGAGACAAACACTGTACCATCATCCACCACATTTTCGTGTTTTGGATCCATTTGAAGTGTCTGGTCAATAGAGTCGCTTCGCTTCGCTACGATCTAGACACAGATGAGCGAGACAAAGAGAGCGCGACAAAGAGAGCGCGTCAGAGAGATAGAGCGGGAAATGGATACAGAGACAGAGACAGAGACAGGGACAGAAATAGAGACAGAGAGAGAGACAGAGAGAGCGTGTGGATGATTGCACTGAATTTTTTTCCATGTCGACATGTCGCATAGGAGACGCATGTTCGAGGAACACGCGAAAACCACAAGTCTAGCTTGACAAGAGCTGCAAGGTTTTCGTTAGCTGAGAGTAAGCCACGTTCGGATGCATCTGAGATGACAGGAGAGAGAGAGTCCGCAACAAACAGCAAATGAGCGAACTAGACACAGGTGTGGGTGAGAGAGAGAGAGAGAGAGAGAGAAGCATCGTACCATCATCCACCATATTCCTCGTTTCGAATGCATCCGAAATATCGTTGTGAACAGAGTTAATTTAGTCTCTTATTCCTGTGCCGGTTTCAGAGCGCGGATCAATGTACAGTTGATTCTTGAAATCATTTTTCGAAAATTGAGGCCTTGACCAATCTCCCAATGTTCTTTTATTCATGAGTGCCAACTCAATTCAATTTGTGTCACTTTGCAGTACCAATCGGCTTCGCCTTGTGGTTTATACTTCCGTCGCCACATCCAATTTTGCCCAATCATGCAATTGTTTTTTCCAGCCGCGCTACCTTAATTTAAATTTCGTCACATTCGAGCAGCCATCGGCGTCGCCTTTCGGGTTTTCCCTCCCTCGACACATTCAAATTTTTCATTGTATTGGCTAATGCATATTAACCGAATGTATGAATGTTCGTGCAGACGGGGAACGTTGATGGGCCAAAGAATTGACAACATTCAATGTTGGAATAAAAAAGCACCCAGTGCGGAGGGCCAAACGGGCCATCAAATGTAGAAAGAGGCCCGTGTGTTGTATTTTGTTCTCTGTGATGCCTCACACCATTCAAAGTGAAAATGCATAGGTGAGTGTAGACGACGGGGGAGGTTCGGGAGAGAGGCTGAAAAATATAGAGTTCGTTGGAGTCCGGATGCATCCGAGTATGCGGGCAGAACATCACACCACACAAGACACAAAATGACGAAAGCGAGAAAGTCAATCACGAAACAGGCGCCCCCACAATGGGGACGTTCGTTATAATTGAAAGCCAGTGAGAAAAAACAATATTGTCGACCACAAACACGTCGGGGACGTGACAATTCCACCCGGAGATATCCGGGCAATGACAGCCAGTTCTTCTCTGAACCAACCTGAGAACACCTACCTGTCTCTCACGGAAAAAATGAAAAAGAATAAATTTCATTCAGAGAAGAACGAAATGTTCTTCTACGTCAACCCTTCGACACTACATGATCAACAAATAGATAGACGCTTACCTACCAATATTGCAAATCGCCAAAGCTAGTCTAACTCTGATAGAGGAGATATGTCTATGGGAGAAACCAAAAGGTGGACGTAAACCTCTCGCCAAACAGGAAGCGAACATCAACATGAACACCCCACAACTAACCCCTTCGTGCTGCCGAGGGACACCTTTCATACGGACCTCGCGCGCGAAGTGGTCGAAAGTGCGACCATCACCGGCGACACCTGCCACCCTGTTAAAAAAATTAATAGTTTTATGTAAAAGTGCGGAATAAAAGTCATCTTTGGATGACGAACACGAGAAAGAATCATAGATTTCCAAAACACGTCTAGAAAAGTCAATGGCCAAAAGGCTCCAGTGTTCGCCGTCCTTATGCACTGGTGCCAAGACGAGGTCATGAGACAGGACGTCGACATCTTTAGCCCATCTGCTAACAACTGCCGGACCTCGTAGAAGGAGTGTAGAGGCGAAGAAAGAGTTAAAGGTGTACGTCTTCATGGTAGCGGCAGTCCGGCCATAGTCGTCCGGTAGTATCGCCATGTAGAAATTGACAACCTCATCGTTGAGCTCCCCGGATCCATCCACGAGTGCGACGATGTCCTTGACAGATACCTGTAAATTGTGCGACGGCAAACGCGCGACGATGATAGTGAGTGGCAACCGGGAGCAGATAACGTCTTCAAGGACTGCTCTTCCATCTCGAGGAAATCCTGTTCAACAAACACCCGCAGCACACAACAAGCACAAAGGACAGGGTACTATGAGAAAATGCCGTCCTATCGGCCATGGTCCGACGAACTGCTACTTTGTGGCCCGAAAAGTTCACGCATAACGTCACCCTTACTTTTGGACCTTCTACACACAGTTGATTCTAAACTAGCATTGTCCTTCTTTATATCCTTGCAAGCTTCGAGAAGGAATTCCTTGCAGTCTTTTTCGGCAACACCCGCTGCCTCTGCAACGAGTCTTGCGCGAGGGCCCACTATGGGCACAACTACTACCCTTTCGGGAGGGCCCCGAGGCTTAGTGTTCCAAAAAAAAACGAATCAGTGACATCGCGATGACCAGTGCCTTCCACAACCAGGACTGACAACCTGGCAAGGGCAGGCGGCTCCTGCGACATGTGTGTTTGTCCACGAGTTCGTCGACCTGTACAAGAAATAGCCACCGAGAGAGTTCAGCCGGAGATCAACAACACAACTTCGCAAGAGCAACCAAGCAAACAACACTGTACGAACCCAATCATCACAGTCTAGTTGGTGGCTGCCTATACAACTCCCCGAAAGCCACGAAGCAAACAACACTTCACGAACGGGCTGACGAGCGGGAAGCAAGCAGAGAAAGTCAGTGCTTACCAGGCTTAGCTTTCATGTCACCTGAGCCCACCAATGGCAGTCCCAGCATGATTGACGCCCCTGTGCGTGTCGACGCGGCGACGACGTGCTCCAAACCCCCAGGGAAACTTGACAGGTTTGACATGTCGGTGTTGATGACCGGACACGGTGCAAATTCATCTCCATCCCGACGAGGAAAATCCTCCACGTCCGCGACGATCAATTTTATTCTGTCCGTCTCCGGAGAAAGAGCGTCGACGTCCACAACATCGACAGGTTGTGTTTTCTCCATCACCACTGTGTCGTATTGTGTTGGGCTCTAGGTCCCATGGATGTCCAACAAACCTCTCCCCCCCTTAACTTCTTGTCCTCGTGCGCTGTGTCTTTATCGTCGTCACTCAAATAGAAAAAACTATCTCCAACAGCGTCAGAGGCCTTCTTCAGAACGTCCTCTCCCATCGCCTCGTCATGAAGGCCGGAGTACAAGGGGTCGTCGTATCCCGGCTCAACTCGTTGCTCCAACCCGACGACCCGCATCTCATGTCCTGAAGTATCGCGGGGCATGCTCACGTCGCTGAGTGTTGAATCAATCCGGTCGGCGGCGGAATGTGTCGGCGAGGACCTGTTCGCCTTGTCTAAAGTCGTCACATGTCCACAACCCTCAACGCTTGCCAGTTCAAGTCCTGCGTCCGTGTGTCTCGAATACATCTGAATCATGGTCGTCTCCAAAGTTGCATCATGGAGGGACATGCTCACAGGGCCGTGGTTCGGATTCATCCGAGCCCCCGCAGTTTCCAATGGCGCCGACGTGTCTGCTTTCACCGGAGAGTCGCTTAAGACTGCTAACGAAGCGCATACCGTCACCAGGCATTCGTCTCCGAGTGTGCGGGACTCGACATTGAAACTGGTCTCTAACTTACCCTCAGTCGGACAGTCTGCCTGCAGCTCCTTGTGGACTTCCATGCACAGCATTACGGCGTCCTTACACTGATCGTCTGTCATGGCAGACACGTCCTCATGGTTCGGATGAATCCGAATTTCACTGCCAGGGTTTTCGGAAACCCGGACCACCCGTTCGAGTTCCGTAGACTGCTATGCTCTCTCGACGGTACTGGCTTCCGGGTTCGGATTAATCCGAACTTCCTTTTGAGGCGAAACGGAACATGGTTCCAGCTTGTCGCTGTCGGACCCGTGGTATGTTGTCGTCCTGCTTCCCGCAAGGCACTGAGTTCTGGACAACGACGTCGTCTCTGTGGTTCGGATTGATCCGAGATAATCCGCCAATCGTTTTTGGAGCTGAGCGAAGCAAGTTCCATCCTTTGCAACAAATGCCCCGCCAACCGCATCGATAAACTGTGTTTCGCTGGTGTAGCTAATCACAGGGTCATGCTCGCTAGGCCGCGTAATCCACCCAGGCCTGAAGTCGTTCCCCGTCTCCATTGAGGTGCTGCCTATTACCGCCAGAACCCCACCATCGTCGTCGCGGTCGACATCAGACCCCTGCCCGTCTCCTCTGTGATGCTTTGTCTTCTCTCCGTTGCGAGGCTTTTTCTTATCTCGGCTGCCCTTTTTCCCCTTTTCGCCGCCCTCGTGCCCCGGAGACCGCTGTTTCGTCGAGCGCTGTTCACTCCCCCCTCCGGTTCCGCGTTGGCCGCCGCCCTGACCGTCCCCTTCGTCGTCCTTTCCGCGAGACTTGCGCTTCACAACTCCAGCCGGTGGGGTGGTCGCAGGCAACTCCCAACTTACTTGATTAATTGACGGGCTTGACGGAAGGTTGTAGAACGCGGAGGATACTTCCAACCATTTATTTGACTGGAAGAAATCGATCAGCGTGTCCCCGTATGCGCGCAGAGCAGGGTCGTCCTTACGTCGTCCATTGACCTCACTTAATCTCTCCAATACCACATCGTAGGCTTGAGATTTGAATGTCTTGAGGTCCCAATGATCGTCATATACCCACCCTCCACTTAGATCCCTCACAACCACTGCCCATTCGCCATCGTGAAGGATTGGCTGGAAATGGTCAGGGTGCCACACGATATCATGGCCCCAATCTTTGGCTGTGGAGAAGGTGTGTTTGTCGCCCATGTGGTAGGGCCTTGTAGGAGCCAAGAGATGTGGATCATGGTCCGAAGGAAATGGTTGGTCGGGTTGAAGACGTTCGGGCAACGGTGTGAGACGAACTCCTTAGACGAAACAACCCACCCCTCTTGACAGGCGCTGAGGAGGACACGGGTGTGGGACTGCCTGAGGTGGGTGTAGCGAGAGGTGTCCCGGGTTTGCATACTGAGGGCAACTCAGAAACTTGGGCGTTGAAGATGGCCAATTGGTCGTCCAAATCGAAGAGGTCGTCCTCAACGCTCTCCTCCTGCTCAGTCTCGATATTGAAGTCATCGTCCTCACCAAATGCCAGCCTGTAGTTATCCAAAGTGAAGTCGGCTGGATCGACCACATCCTCGTTAAGAAATACATGTTCCAGCCTCTTAATGAAGCTCACCGCGCCGGCGCGACTCGCTTCTTGGTAGCCGTGGAGGACTGCAATGGCGACTTCCTTTCGCACCACGTACTGCTGGTCAAATCTCAACCTTGGTTGTTGGCCGAAAAGAAAGGAGTAGACCTGACGCCTTTTCTTCAGAGTCAACTTCAAGAAGATGTTCTTGTTCGGGTCATAAACGGGATCGACGACGACATGGTGGAAATCGCATGCGTAAGCCCCGGGCGAGACTTCATGGGTAACAAACTGCACGGTGTATTCAAGTTGTGTTATGTCCCCATCCACGACCAGAACGTGCCTTCCCTGTTGAAGCAGACTCCACACCACCTGCGCGTGCGGCTTGCCGAAGAACAGCACAGCATCCGCCAYACCAYAGAAGAAAAGAASYTGATTGCATAACTRATTAGGATTCCGCTCGCCTTCCTTGTACACAGCCCCYCTCTGGCTGAGGTTMCCAAAGTCCGCGAAAGTSAAGGACTTGAAAGACTTCTCCTCCACATCCGTAGGTGTCASTYWMTRTTTCCYYYGGAGAGCGGCGRCATCGTCTTCGGCAACAGCTCCCTCGTACACCGGGTGAGTCAGTAGYCGCRGATCCTCRCCTTTGAAAAKGATGTGCATTACATCCRGCTCCTCCCAGACGCTGTTTCCGAACAGATGCGTCTTCTTCGATGCCGTCTTCCGCACCCACTTCCCCGTGTAGCATCGGGTAGCCCCAAGCCCAGACAAAGATGTCATGAAGGAGAGGTTCCACAGGCAGGGAACGAATACCACCAATGTYCAGTAGTCCTGRCAAACGAAGCCMAGGAACTCACTYAGAGACGCGAATGYCCCAGAGTCCYAGCGCGYCCGGTCCACAKTTCCRCACAAGTCGAGCACGCAAGTGTGGGAGCGYAGCTGATGCCCTAGTTTTCCCARCGCCTCCTTATGATCTATGGCACGCAATGGGTCGACGGTAAACTGGGCCAGCGTCATCAAGGCGCTTGTCTTCGTCCACAAAATGTTGATGCATTCATCAATGCCTCGAGGGCCTTTTTTGCTTTGGGCTCGATCTCCAGTGATCACCGAAAGGACGACACGTTTCCACTCCGCCGGGAAATGCTGGTCGTTAACGAGGGCCACCGTTTTCTTGATGTTGTTGTCGTGTTGACACCCGAGAAACTGAGGGCACTTGTTGACGTACGCGGTGTCCGTGAAAAARTTCCTGCTCTCGTTCCAAAGCTTGTCGTCGAGACCTTTGTCCTTGAACTCTTCCAACAATTGCCGCCTGGACCTGAAGAACGTGGAATTGACATTCCACTCCCGCTTATCCATTTCCTCATACTCGAACTCCACGTAGTGCCACAGCCTCAGCATAATCCGGTCCATTTTTATTATGTCGACCATTTCCTTTACACTGAATTTCCCCTACTCGACCAACTTCTTGATACTCGTTTGAACCCACACGACGTTAAGGTTCAAGACGCCGTTCAACAACCTTTTCTTCTCGCGGTCTGTCAAGTCTACCAATTCCTTCCAGCAGTGGACATCCGGCTCAGGAACTTGGATGTAGTAAGTTTTCTCCTCCGCGCCTTTCTTTCCCTTCCCCTTGCCCTTTTTCAACGACAGGTCGTCCACCTTCACGTACCAGACGTGTTTCTTCAACCCCTGGCTGTCAGTCACAGTGGAGAGTCCTGGCTTAGCCACCTCCTCATAGGTGGGCAACTTTTCAGTCCAACGTCGGCCATCGGAAGGAAGGAGTTTCCCTCTCGACCGTTCGTCATAGAACTTCTCCCCCAAAGCGAAGACGGAGTCATCTGCCATGGCTAGCGGGAGGTAGTATCAAAGTTTCTCAACCCATTTCTTTTTTTTCTTTTCTTCTGTTGACAGGTTCCATAAAGGCGTGTACGGTGTCTTCTTCAGTGCCAAGGCCATGAACTGTACCCACTTTCGTACCTCCTCCTTTTTCTTCGACGCGTTGCCGAGCACCACACGCGGTTTCCCCTTTATTTTCCAGATATTGCGAATGTCCCGCATAGACAGAACCTGCAAGCGCGGTGGATTCTTCTTGTCTTTCATGTTGTCTTCTCAGCTGACATGGGCGTAGCCGTCGAACTCGTCGTCAGGGAAGTAAATCGGTCTAAACGACCATTTACAGAAGCTGTAGTAGTTAAACACGGGATGGTCTTTGACCTTCATCACCGCCCTCGTGTTATGCTGTCCACACACAGGATAATACCAGTATTTCTCGGGGTGTGAGCCGTCGAAGTCACAAGGCAGCACGAGCACAGCAGACTCGTCCTTCTTCGGAGGCGCGACGATCGGAGCGAGAACGAAAATCGGCTTCGTGTATCTCATGTCTTTACGTTTGTAGCAGTCGATCATAGCTGACGTGATGGTATCAACGAGGAACTCGTCCAAGGATCGGCGGTTGTACGCGTTTTCCCAGTCTGGAATAGGCAATATTCTTTCGGGATGGATGTGCAACACGACGTCCCTCTGCACCCTTTTCTTCATCTCGAGGAAAACGCATTCCTCATCCCTTTCCCCGCTCTCGCCCTCATCTGCTTTCTTCTCCCTCGACGATTTCGACCTCTTCCCGGAAGACTCATCGGTTCTTCCCCGTGTCGATGAATCTTTGGGCGCTTCATCCCCACCTCCAACCCTTTTCATCTTCTCATCGGAACCTCCCTGTCGTGTCGTTGGCGTCCGAGCACTCCCTCCTTCTTTTCTCTGCCTTTTCAGAGCACCTGCTCCCTCTCGCTCTTCCTTAACTGGCAAGTTGCGCTTGCCTCCCGATTGAGTTATTTCAGGCGATTTCTCACGAAACAGCCCCAGCTCGAACACCTCATCCTCACCGGCGACGTTCCCACCTGCTTCTCGTTGTGGGCTCGCCTCCATCTGCAGTTGTGCAGGCGCAGGGCGGGCCCAGTGAGTCGTCTCATCTGACCCACACACCTCTCGAGCTTGTGAGCTACCCGCGCGATCGCCCGACGAAACCTCGACCACCTGCCTGCCACGAACGAACTCGCCGATTCTTTCGACCAGACGACGAGGAGTCGTCAATCCTGAGGCCTGTTGCAAAGTTCGCCAATGCCGCCTCCACGCGGCGTCGACTCCTCAAGCAAACCTTGGCGGCGAGATCCTTGCAAGCCTGGTTTCAAAGGAGCACGCGGATGGTCGTCCTCCGAGTCGTCTGACATGCCCACCTCTTGATCAGAAGGCGAAGCTGGTAGTTCACCCTGACCTCCCATCCTCCTTTTAAAGCACTCTCCTCCCACGAACACAACAAGACCACTGATCGATGTCCTAGGGACGACGTCCATGGCATTGCCAGAGGGAATTGAACTCGCCCAAACCTCGAGGAAGTCTGTCACGTGAACGGCTTCGTCGTATCCTGGCGCTAGTGGGACAAAGGAGGGCAAAGATATCGCACCCCGACCGTACCCGCCGAACATCTTCCCCGCAACCTTGCATCCTTTTGCGATGTCGTCGACGAAACCATCACTTCTGTAAAGCTTCCGTAAGGTAAATCTGAAATTGTAGTCGCCTTCGTCGACCCACTCGACGATGGACCCTGCGAGACGCGTCCTATCGCCGCGACCGGTGACGAACAAGACCGGCCCGCACGGTGGTTTTAACGGGTCGGAGCCATCCTGGCTCGCCCAGTCCAAATACCAGACACGCTTGCTGTAGTCGCAACACAAGTTTTGAGCCCGTCGTTCTTCCTCCCCACCGTCACCTCCCCGACTCGTTTCCCTTGCCGGTGACGACGTCGTCCCTCGACGTTCGTCCCCACGCAGGGCGGAACCACCCGCGGAGCGGGTTCCTCCGTGAGTAGCCATTCCCTGAAACACGCAGAGGAAATGAACGCACATGCACTCAGAACACTCAGCACGTCGTAACATCAACCTCTACCCACAACACCAATTTAGTTCTCGATCTACCGGGTCCCCAAAAATACGAAGTTTAGTGATAGTTAGACGACAGTGCTCCACACGCCTGCTCGAAAAGGAGGGCAACTGCACGCTTCGGATGAATCCGAGGCATCGTAAACTCTCGTCATCACACTGCCCTTCAGAGAACGAATGGTCGAAAACGAAGACTGCGAGGTAGTTCGGATAGATCCGAACTAGGCATAGTCGAAAGACCGACGGCGTATATCGTTGCCAGTAACAGGTACCTGTATCGGGAGAAGCAAGACTGCGCTAGAAGGCCCTAGAACGTTGATAAAGCAGACGAAGATGCGCACCCCATTGTGATACGGATTCATCCGAAGTCGACAAGCGGATTGTAAAGCACACGGTGTCGACACAGCCTCTGGTGGTAGTACGTATCAGGACAACCCCTGTCGAAACGGATAAATCCGAGCCACACCCGTCTTAAACTCTCAACGACGAGGACACACCGTGCAAAGTTCGGGTGGACCCAAGGACAGCAGGGGAATAACGGAAGCTTGGATGGTTGGATAGGCGTCAACAGACCGTGGCGTCCATCCGCCGGTCCCCGTCTCGGATTAATCCGAGCCACATTGGCGAAGTTCGGGTTCAACCGAACCACACCTCCGACAAGATTCAGGTCGTTGACGAAAACACGCCATATCGATGGCGTCCTCTTGTGGTCGGCCGTCTCTGGACCGCACCATTCGAATCCGGATGCATCCGAGTCACAACTGTCACCAACTCAGAAGGCCTTAGAACGTTGATAGAGCAGACGAAGATGTGCACCCCATTGCGATACGGATTCATCTGAAGTCGACAAGCGGATTGTAAAGTTCCTCGGTGTAGTTCGGATGCATCCGAGCTCCAAAGTGGTGTGGACTACGTCCGTGTGGTCCGGAATAATCCGAATTCGAGTTTTCGCAAGCGGATTGTAAAGTTCCTGGGTGTAGTTCGGATGCATCCGAGATTCAAAGTGGTGTGGACTACGTCTGTGTAGTCCGGATTAATCCGAACTCGAGTTTTCTCATCCTTCTAGCGCGATCTTGCTTCTCCCGATACAGGTACCTATTACTGGCAGCGATATACGACGTCGGTCTTTCAACTATGCCTACTTCGGATGTATCCGAACTACCCCGAGGTCTTCGTTTTCGACCATTCGTTTTGTAGTCCGGATTAATCCGAACTCGAGTTTTCTCGTCCTCCTGAGTTGGTGACGGTTGTGACTCGGATGCATCCGACTTCGAACAGTGAGGTCCAGAGACGGCCGACCACAAGAGGATGCCATCGACATGGCGTGTTTTCGTCAATGACCTCTGAGCATAGGGTCAATCCTATCTTGTCGAAGGTGTGGTTCGGTTGAACCCGAACTGCGCCAATGTGGCCCGATTCAATCTGAGACGGGGACCGGCGGATGGAGGCCACGGTCTGTTGACGCCCATCCAACCATCCAAGCTTCCGTTTTTCCCCTGCTGTCCTTCGGTCCACCCGAACTTCGCACGGTGTGTCCTCGTCCTTCAGAGTTTAAGACGGGTGTGGCTCGAATTTATCCGAGTTCGATAGGGGCTGTCCTGCTACGTTCGACCACCAGAGGTTGTGTCGACACCGTGTGTTTTCGTTGTTTTAGTTGATCAGACCGTGTGACGTCGTCAATACCCTCTTTGCATGTGATAAATCCAAACTTGCCATCGGTGTGGTTCAGATTAATCCGATCTTCGCCGAAGAGCTTCGGTTTGTTGTTGCCCCACCACACAGCCGACCTGCCGGCGATTACCGGAGTGTATCGTATTAATCTGTGCATTATTACAGGGGGTGTCGTCGTCCTCGTGAGATTTAGTTGGTTGTGGCTCGGATGCATCCGAAATTAACATGTGTGGCTCGGATACGTTAGTTGTTGCGCCACCAGACGATGGTATGGACAGGGTGGGTTGTTGCGGTCCTTTTTTATCAGACTTGTCGTCGTCGACAATACCCTTTGAGCATCTGATCGCTCCGTGCTCGACAGCGTGTGTTCCACATGTTCTTTTGTTGCCTTTCCTGTTGAGCGAAAACTATGATATGAACGCAGTTTTCGATTAGACGTTTTTTTCACGATTGGCATGTTCATTGATTGGTTGGGTTATTCGTCACTTGTGTTCGGCTGGCCTTCACGCCGGTGTCGAAAATTCTTCTGGGACGTGCACTTTTGGCCGTGCTACCCTTTCTCGGGATAATACAAACAAGCGAGAGCAAAATGATATTTACCTTCATCAATCAAGACTTGCTGTCCTCTCCTGTGTCCACGTCAGCGAAGGGTTCCGCTCTTGTTCTCGCGACGATTGTCTGACGCGTGGTTTGATAGGGCTTAAAGATTTGAAGACACAGACAGTCGCTTAATCGAATTTAGGTCATTCCCCCTTGAGTGCAATCACAAATCAGTAATCCGAAGACTATTCTTCGGATTACTGATCTGTGATTGTAGTCTTCGGATTACTGATCTGTGATTGCACTCAAGGGGGAACGCCCTAAATTCGATTAAGTGACTGTCTGTGTCTTCAGATCTTTAGAGAACGACAAAAGATCCGCATAGACATGAAAGTGAGACAGAGATCGATAGAAACGTCGAGAAAGAGAGAGGGCACAGCGAGAGAGTCTGTTTTTATCTCTCTGTCTCTCCATGTGCAAATTTTGAAAATCGTGTTGTGCGTTTTTTAAATGGGTCACATTGCAAAACCCAGAAAAGACAAAAAAATTATAAACAAAACTAATAATTAACTTCCTATTGTGCGTAACTTGTTGTACATGAGATAATGTTGCGCTTGAAGACGACGAGCGTTCTTGAACGTGTCACGACCCAGGATGCACCGCGAACGGTCGTGCACGTGTCGGCGAGAGGAAGAGTAGCAAAAATTGTGAACAAATTAACGAACGGAGAAAACAAATTGCGGAAACATATCCGAACGCCGAGCGAACTGAATGACGCGACTGACGCGAGAAAACGAATAAACAAACCGAACGCAATGAAAAATAAATCGGCGAGAAGAATGTTCATGAAAAATAAAGAAGAAGGGAACCACGTCGAGACAATTCGTAAGAATCCATGCTCTCATGTTCGACAACATACGCTTAAAAATCATAGAGCAATATTCGTAAGAAAGACAACAGATTGACGAGGCGCACAAAACACTTCAAGAACACATCTGAAGTGACGATACAATCTTAGGTGCCAAAATATTTTTTTGCGGGGTTCGAACCCCATCAGGTTCGGGCCCCGTACGGGGACCCAAACGCTCGAACGTTCGGGGGTCAGATTAGGGGCCTCCGTATGTTCAGCCTAGCTGCCCTGTATATATATATATATATATATATATATATATATATATATACATATATATACATATATAACCCTGACGAAACAGTTTGTCACAGTCCCTCGTTTGTTGTCATTTTCTCTCTCTCTGCCTACGGTTTACCGGGCAGTTCTGTTTGTGATGATATATATATATATACATATACATACAGGGTTGCCGGCGTTCGGGACGGGCCGAACACCCGAACCCGAACGCCCGGACGTTTGGGACCCCCTCTCAACGCGTTCGGACATTCGGCCGAATGCGGAACAAAAAAGAAAAAAAAGAAAAAAGAAAAAAAAAACAGTTTTCAAAAATTTTGAAAAACAAATATGTCATGCAGAAGAATAAACTAAACAACATTTGCCTCAACAAGATATCCAAATGCCTTACCAAATTTGAAATAAAAATCAAATACGAAAACTAAATGATATTAATGAAAATAAGAAAAAATAAAACGAGAATGAAATTATTGCATGGGCGAGCAAGTTTTTGACACCGCCATCTTTGGAGATTTTTCATTTTTTTCTGGCTTTGTCAAATGTCATGAAATTTCATACATATGTATCTTACATAATAGAGAACCTACAAATAAAGTTTTAAAAAATTATAATTTTTTTCAGGCCCCGAAATAAAGGGAAAACAAAAAGTGAAAAGAGAAAAAAAACAAATTAGTAAGTGGGAAAGCAAGTTTTGACACCACCATCTTTGCCGATTTTTCATTATTGTTTGGCTCTATAGAATGACTTCAAAATTTAGACACAGGTAGCTTACATAACAGAGAACTCACAAAAATAACATCAGAAACAAAAAAAAAAAATTTAGGTACCAAACTAGTTTTTTTCGGGGTCCGAACCCGTTCGAGTTCGGGCCTTGTACGGGGACCCGAACGCTCGAACGTTCGGGGGTCAGCTTAGGGGCCTCCGTACGTTCGGCTTGACAACTCTGTATATATCGTCATATATATATACATATATATATATATATATACATATATATATATATATATACATATATATATAGCCCGTCGTTTGCTGTCCTCTTCTCTCTCTCTGCCTACGTTTTATCGGGCAGTTCTGTTTGTGACGATATATATATATATATATATATATATATATATATGTATATGTATACAGGGTTGTCAGGCTGAACGTTTGGGAAGGTATGTGTAAATACATATTTTTTTTTCGATGATATATATATTATAGTTTTGTGGAAAAATGATCGATCTCTTGTTTATTGACAAGGAGCTCCACCTGCTATCAATTGGGCCCAACCTCATAATGTAAGGAAAGTGAGGCAGCTGGAAACAGGGTCCAATGTCCCCTTTTCTGAGAAGTTAGAAGTTAAATGGCTAGTACACGGTCCCAACCCTGCGAAAATTTGTTCGTCGCCTACTACTCAGGAAAATAATGTTTTTTTTGCCTACCGGACTAGAATGGCCTACGACGCCACTCGCACTTCCGGAAAGACTGGTTGTACCAACCATAATTAATTTAGTACGATTATAACATTTATTGATGCACTTCACAAATGGACATTAACTTTCTTAGAGGTCAAATGTAAGGCTATGCCTGGTAACTCGAATCAGACGTCCATCTTTATCAGGAGTTTTCTATGGTCAATGTAATAACTGTG